GGGGGGGGAGGGGCGGGGAGCTCCCTTCTAAATACTGTTTCTGAAGAAATACAATGAAATATTATAGTCCTTCAACGATACAGATTCTGGAGTACCAAAATCAGCAGGAGTTCTGCTTTTCAACAGAGGAGAGCCAAGACTTCATCCTTGCTTGTTCAGTTTCACACAACTGTTACTGTGACACGAGGGAATCCACACTTAAAAAAAAAAAAAAGACAATAATAATAATTGAAAAACCCCAATGAACAAACAGTAAAGCAAAAAGTCTTGCCTTACTGCACCGGTTCCACATAAGCAGGCTTTGTCTGAGGCAGATGCACCCACGCTGGTATCTGTTCTCCCAGCTCTGGGTTCCCCTGGGGGTGCTCAGCAGGGCACCCCTACTAACACCCATGGATGAACCCGCAGCGCCGCCAGTCCTGCGATGGAAGGGTCAGCAGTGCTGACAAGCCTCTTGCCTTGCCCCCTACCCAGATGCCTTGGGCAGCTCCTGTGGCACTGCTGCCATACGCTCTCTATAAAAATGTAATCTATTTTCTTTGCTCTTGGCCTCTACCTAAGAAAAATGACATTGCAGGCCTCTGTCAGTATGGAAAAAAGGTAGTCTGTAATGCCTAAACGTGCTTCCGCAGCTGTGATAAGCTATGCTGGACACGTGAGCTATCTTACTAAATACCTTTACAGAAGATTACTGTTTTATTTTATTTTTATTTGTTTTGCTGCAGTCAAATCAGTGAATAATGTGCTTTCTCAGAATGGGAAGCCAGGTGTTACAGCCTGCTCAGAATATATGAAAGTCATCCTGTCATTAAATGAAAACATAGGTAGACTTAATAATCATGTAAACCACTCCAGACTATGCTGAAGTAGAAACAAGAATTAATCATGCCTAATTTTTTTCCCTTTGGTGATGCTACGAAGTAAAACATTTTTGGCAGAGCTGTTACCTCTCTTAGTAAGCCAGGCCTCTAATCTAGGGAGTAGTTTTAAGCGCACTGTGTTTCTGTCACTTAGAAAAGACAGACTCCGTGCTTTCAGAAAGTTTCAGCTGTACACTGGATGATGTCCTCTCTGAATGATTATCTTCTTTTAAGGAGACAAGTTTTCTTTGAAGGCATCTGAACATCTAATGTTATTCATGTAGATACATTGAATTGTTTTGTGACAATAAACCGTCAAGTCTGAACCTATCTGAATGTTTGAGAAAGTCTCAGAAAACCAAACAAACTGTCTCTGGTATAATTTTCAGCTGCAAGGAAAATGTAATTGAGTATTTTTTTTTGTCTTTTAACCATCCAACCAAATGAAAGCTATTGGACTAAATGTATAAAGAAGGCAAGACTCCCTTTCTTAATATAAACTATCTTATTTTACTCTGTATTAGCCTGACTAAAGACGGGATAATAACACCACTTGGAAAAGGGAGGAAACAATTTATTCTAGTACAACATTCTAATCAAAACTTGAAAAACTAAGGTCTGCTAACTAATGTGCTAAATACATAAAAACTAAGTTTAGACTAACTTCAACGCATACTGCAGTTTCAGAGTTGTGTCTGCATGAGATGAAAATATTCCTATGTAGACTTCATTGGCAATGAAACACATCAGATACTTTACCAAGTAACGATAGACCCGCATAAGAAGAGGCTGTCACAGTCACAAGATTTGTCTTGGATGACACATAAAACAAATTAACATAGAACAAAAAAAAAAAAAAGGAAGAAAGCTTTTTATACTTAATTCAATATGGCTTTTTGCAACATTGTAAAATATTACAGCTTAAAGCAGACATCTCCTCACAGAGGAGAAAAGAATTTTGCAGTCAAATTAAAAGCATAACAGGAAACAAGTAATGTGCAGACCCCCTGCTCTTTTTGGCCAAGATGACACTGCAGCCTAACAAAATCTGACGAGATGTCCTATTTCTCCTCGAAGTGATTCAGCTGGATAAGAGGAATGAAGTTTTATCGTAATCAGTTGGGCTCCACTCATAAATATTTACTGTTAAATAAAATAGACTGCAAAACACTTGATTTAAAAATTTAACTCAGGAATTTAAATCAAATAATGTGCCCAAGTCCTGGAAAGAAACATAAGGAATGAAACAAAGTATAACTTAATCTTCATCTATTTCTGGTTTTCTTCTGTATTTCCATCGTCTTTGTGAAGAACAGGGAGAGGATGAGCCTCTGTGTTGAAGACCCAGTGTTCGAATGGAAGAAGATCATCTTCAGAAAACAGCAAATACAAGTACCTGGCAAGAAAAAAAGAAGGAAAAGTGACCGCATCAGGGAAGTGAAACTACAGTAGTTTTCAGGAAAACATGATTTCCTTAGATGAATGCATCAATGGAAACAGCTGAGCAGACACAAAACACCAGTAAGTCCCAGCATCACAATGGTTAGCACCAAGCTTTGGAGCTACTCAAATCAGATTGGACACAAGGGCAACAGCAACTGGAGACCAACAAATGAAGGCCTCTGTCCTGATAGAGGACAAAGAAGTTTAGGCTGTCAAGGTTAAATGTCAGTTCACTTCCGTTTCATCCTTGGTAATTTTATTACATATTGTTTTGATAATATACAACCACAGTAATTTTTGTATCCTGAATGGCCATATGTATCAAGGTGTAGGAATGAAACTATTGTAGTCCAATCCTGTCTTACTTCTGAGAACAACGTCTGTCTTCGGATTTTCAAAAAAGAAAACTAGCGCTAGAGCAGGAGCTTGGGCAGCCATTTATAAAGATAGGGTCCACTAAAACCAGCATTAAACAATGAACAAATCCAACATTTTATTTATTGTCCTGATACAGGGTAGTAGCTATTGTAGCATGATTATTGAAGTCTGCTTAGAGATAAAGTCTGCTTAGCAAATGAAATTTTATTTTTTCCTCCATTACCATCCTTTCCTGAAGGCTGCTCTAATTTTGATAGACCAATTTAAAAGCTATAGAAGAGGCAGCACACTATTTCAAAAAAGTACCAGGATGTACATAAATGTATTTGTGATGTTTCATTTACTTCAGCATTACACTTTCTGATGTAATGGCATGATGGCTTCTTTCTAGTCTTTACAACTCTCTTGCGCAGCAAAGAAAAACTGAAGAGACCAAGACAAAACTTCCTTTATTTCATTAAAACTTAGGAGATGGTGATAGATAATGAAAGCTTTGGTTTCGTCTCTTGCCATGCAAGCTTACCATGCCAGTTGACTTTGTTTTTCTTTTTCTGTAGTTTTAAAAATAAAAGTATGCAATACGAGCCTGATAAGTCGTCTGTCTACTCAATTTGTTTCACTAGTGTTGGCATATATAATTAGATCCCATCAGAGCTAGGAGATGTAATTTCTCAACAAAGACTACCAAGTATCTTTAAGAGAAGAAAAGATAATTTCCAGATGTCCTAAAATTTATTTTATTGATTTAGAAGGAAAAAAAAAGGCAATTTGCCTTCTTGTCACCTAAGAAAAGCTCTGCTACTTCTGTCAGATTTTGTTATGTGAATGTCAAGGGTACTAACGATAAATATTTATCTGTAAAGATGATACATAGAACTACTTCATATTAATGAAAGTCAACTTTCTTAACTTACTTGAGTGTCTCTGAAAGGAAGAAACTTTGCTGCACATCATCATGGCTTTCATGATTGTTGTAAACATCCCTAATGCCAGAATAGCCACCATCTACTCTGCAATGTTTTTCCAGTGCCTAAAGAGGGAGAAAAAAAAAAAAAAGTGGGATGGTCAAAATTAATCATCTGTCAGTTTTTCTTTGACAATAAAACTAGCTGAAAAAACAATTATCCAAAATTTGCGATAGACTTGAAAACTAGATAAAGATCTCGATAGAAATCTCATTTTTTTTAAAGACAGGCACACATGTCTATTTAGGAAGAGAAGCAAAATTATAACAAAAGAAGTGAACACAAAGCAGTTTTCTGGATTTTTGTATAATTTCTTTTTCCTCTTTTTAACAGGAATAACAATAACCTCTCTGTCACAGGTTTGTCTATAGATCCTTCAGAGATCCAGTCACATATACCTTTCTTGGTCATGTTTTAGTGCTTAAAACTATTGTGCTAGAATTGAATGCCATGATAAAGACCAATCTTTTCCTTACTTCCGGTAAGGTGCTTGGAAAGGCAACTCTGCATTTTCTGTATAAGTTGTTTAGCTTCTCTTTACAATTATTTTATTTTTCAATAGGAAACCTCTGATATTGTGCTATGACTGAATTTCTTTTCTGCAGTAGGTACTATTTTTCCTTGATACTTTTCTGAAAAAGGTTTATCTGTTGCACAGGAGTAGATAGAAAGGTAGTATGTGGCTGGACTTAATGCAACATGTTTTAGATGCAAGAATATTTTTTTCTCTAACTACTTTCCAGACTGTGTATTCAGTCAAAAGGTGTAAACCAGATGACTGATTCCTGTTTTACGATGAAAAAGAGCACACAGACCACCTAAAAATATAATTTTTTTCTTCCCACAGGAATTTTCTATGTGACCAGCCAATACTGAAGGAGAAAAACGATCAGATGAAGGGTGTATACAGAAGGGCAAAAAACATGTACCTGGTGCTGGAAGTGTAGAAGGTATACACGGTTACACTATTTAATAAACTTTGCTGCTTTTCTTTATTTTTGACAGGTGTTTGCATTAGAAATGTGGTACCTGTATGTCTATGTATGAGCCATAATTTCTTTAAATATACTGCTATCCAATATCTTATTTGAATAGTAGTTCTTTTATCAATTCTTTTTAAAATATTACTTCATTATTTTTTTTATAATTGACCTATTTAACAAGGTCAAAAGTATTCTTAGCCTCTTCATTTTTCTTATCCTGTTTTATGATAACTCTCTGGTATGACGCAGTGTAATAAAGGAGTGAAGAGAATCTAAGATGATTACATCGAGAACACAACTCATTATTCAAAAACAGATCCAGAAAATTATCTTTAGCCCTAAATAACTTCTCACAATGAAAATGATGGTAAGCATGAAGGATTACTACATTTACTCAGGACCACACTGCTCTGAAACACAGGGCTTGCTGTGACGACAGGTACTGGAGCAACAACTTTCAGGCAGAAACGCCTGGAGCTTTATCAAAATGCTGATGGAGAGACGAAAGGTTCCAACCCCATCAGACAATTAGTTCCTGCTTCTGAAGTTATTACAAATATCACTCAAGTGATTACAGGCCATGCAGATTTTATTTAGGGCAAGCTGCTGCCTTGCAAACCACATACAGCAAAGCACCATGACAGAAGAAACAAGCAAACAGGCAGAATAAGCATTTTCTGATGAGAGATGGGACTAACCGTCACCAATAATTATCAAGGTATCCATCACCTCCACCTGCTCTAAAGGCTGTTCAAGTTCTGTGTTTTGCTGTGAGCAGATATCCTAAACGTCCTTGTTTTTGCTGGAGTCCCTGTAGCTATCTGCATATATTTAGCTTGCATGTCAGGCTCTCCATAGTTTTCACTGGAGAGTAAGCTGCCTAATGTATATTTAAAAGGGATTTTTCTCCAGGAGAGATCCTTTAAAATATAACAGGCCTATTTGTCTTTTGTTATGTGTCTTTAGGTTCTTTAATTTTCCTGGACACTTTTACTAAGTGACAAATATACTTAAGTTGAAACACGTAATTTCCCCTGGCTGGTACTCCTTCCCTCTTGTCTACTTCAACCTGCGGTGAATTCAAAATGCTGAATCTGTGTCTGGATTTTCAATGTCAAACACAAGATTATGTTTTCCAAAGCACAGCAGAAGGAGAACTTAAACTTGAAGAATAAGGCTATTATTCAAGGAAACATCTGCATTCAAAACAGGGTGAGGTAAAATAAAAGCAAGTTGCATTTGGGGTTTATGTGCTCTAACATGTAGTTAGAGCCTTCTTTATGAGTTCATTGTTGGGAGATACGGTATAGGTACCCAAACACACTGCTATGATATAGACTACGAGGTTGACTTTCACCATGTTAGCCATCTGGTGGTATCTACTCAATGCAAATGTGAAGCATCTTGCCCCTCAAAGCTACTTTCCACTTAACTAAAGGAACAGGACATCTGTGTGTGGCATTAGTACGACAAAAAGTCTCCCGGTTGTCACTCTCCCTTAACTGGCAGCAATGGCCTTTTGTGCCCACACCTGCAGTTTCAGAGGACAGTAATGTTCCCACTGACAGGGGGGTAGGGGTGGGTGGGAAGAAACAATCCAATACATTTTAAATTAGCAGCTCTCAGGAAATGAGGGTGGCTAAGATCAGTTATGCTATAGTAATGGAAAACATCAAGCAGAGTGAAAACTGGCTGACAGTCTCAAAGTATCATAAAGGGAAAAAAACAAAGGAAGTGCTGTGAATTGAAAATATGTGTCGCATTTATAATGCAGAAAGGGAGACTTTCAAGAGCTAAGCTGATAAAACCTTTCTGACTTAGTAACAGTGAATATTGCTGTTGGTCATAACTGCATTTTCTCCAACTGCTGAAGTACATACAGAATGATCTTGGACTCAAAGCAGCAAAGCAAGTTTCCAAAGAAAAAAGGGAGAGGCTAAAGCACAGATTTTAGTCTAGAAAAGGGCACTGGAAAACAACCCTACTGAGTTCTTATTGCCAGCGTCATGAGCTGAAAATGGACACGAAACACCTGAAGAACAACTTTTTTTGGGCACCATCGAATGGTCTCACTGTTCCCCCTTTTTTCTTGTTCCAGTCTCAGGTTCCTCCTTGTACAACAGGTGTTGGTAATGAAACCAACCACAAGCAGCGGCTGGGGACTTCCCCAAGAACAGTGGATGAAGGGCCGTGCCCTCTGGTACAAGAGGGAGCAGAATTTATGAAACAGTTGTGTAAGCTATCCTGACACATGCTGGAACAACAAAAATGCAGTATCAGGTGGAGCTGTATGGGCTATAAACAGCAAGGAAGAAGAAAGAAAAAAAAATTGAAACCTACAACGGACTGTATAACTTCTGTGAAGCTGTAAGATTTTTTTTTTTTGTGAAACTCTCAGATGCACCTTAGGACAGAAGAAGACTGGTCTGTGCAGACTGGGACCAGCAGCATCTCCCACACATGGGCTGTAATCCACCACGTTAGAGCCAGACAAGAACAACCACAAGAATGTTAAACAAGAAACACATGGGGAGCGCTAAATGAGTGTACAAACTTGAAATAAACACAAACAAACTGAACCAACAGGGTAAAGTATAATAATAAGGAAAACATTTCAATTGTTTATAACAATGTTATCAGTGTGGGCAGCAACAATGAGTCAGGAAAAACACCTCCTGGAGAAGGAACACTTGGCATTGCTGAAGCCTGGTGGGATAACTTCCACAAACAGCCATTGTAAATATTCCAATTATAATCTGCCTGGGAAGATTCCGATAGTAAAACGTGTGGCTATGGGTGGTGTTAGCGAAGAAGAAAGTAAGTGAACAGCACTCTAAATTAGAGGTGGTTTTTTTTTAAATTGCTTTGGAATCATTAACTCCGAAGCATATTGTTTCAGGGCCAATAGAGCCAAGACCTGAGGGAGGCAAATAAAATGTCCTAAATAACTATAGTCTACCCAGCTGAATACAGCGTTGACTGCAGATCTAGAATTGCTGTGAATATTCAGACAAGGAGGAGCTAGAGAGTAGAAGTATAGTTAACGCTAGCAGCTATTTTTTTATGGAAAATAGATTTTATGATAAATCTCAGTCTTCAAGACTATCTAATTACCAAACTTGAAATGTTCTTTTTCCACAACACTCAACAACATTTGCACAACATTTGAAATATGCTCAGTATCTCACACAGTGAATACTGAATACAATTACAGATCTTGGCTGCTGTTGGGTGAGCCAGGTAACTTGCAGATGTCATGTCACAGCCAGGTATATGGAGTCATAACCCAGTAACAGCTCTCTTGTAGGGTCCCTCAGGGACTCATCCCTGGTAGGCATAAGAAATTGCATGACACAAGTTTACATGTTCTTCCCTTAGTACAGAGCAACCTTCTACAACTAGCGGTGTATGCCCCTCCAAGACAGTTATAATCATACAGGCCTAGAAACCAGAGGGGTTGGGCAAATGCACAAACTGGACATTTTTCAAATCCTGGAAAGCAATAACTCTGCAAAGGAGAGGTCACTGTGAACAAAATACTGCACAGAGTTTTGTTTTCTTCTTTTATTTGCATTTTTCTTAAGTCTACAGAGCCACAAAAATAATGTTCTTCAGCCTCCTGTATCTCCTGTAAGATCTCAGTCTGCTTAGAAATCCCAAAGTAAGAGTGAAAGGCAGATAATGTAGAAGAGCAACATCAATGTGAGGAGAAAATAAGTGAACTCTAGAAGTGTAATAAGGACCTATACATGGCAGATGAAACCTGGTAAATCCAAAGGCTCTGATCTCTAACTGTAAGAGTGATTAACCACTGAAACAAGGGAAACGATCGAATTGACAAGCCAATTTCTGCAGCATAGACTGGCTGCCCCCTTGGAAGGCTCGTGCTATACAAACACAACTAGATTCAGCATGACTGGCTGAAGCTTAAAGGCTAGTGGGACACAGAAATTTAAATCTAGAAGAGATTGTTATCGTTAATGGAGTTCAGTCCAGATAACCTATGCTTTCTGAATGCGACCCACTTTTAAAATGCTTAATACTATCTACTACTTCATCTTGGCCTTCATCACCTTGATTAAAATCAGCTTTGTGCAATTACTGTTGAAAATACACTTCACAAAACTTATTTCCATGTCCAAGGATCACATTTCACACGTTTGCACTTTCCATTCATAAGCAGCAATATTTAACATCTTGAGCAGGACATCAAATTATGACCCTGATCTGAGAAGTATTTAAGAAGGATAAATCACAAGGTATTTTTCTAATGTAAAATATCAGCAGTATTTGGTTTTGTCAAAATGATCTTAGTTCATCTATTTAGTAAATGAATTTCTGGAAATTTGAGTTGATATTATCCATTTAAAATAAATATTTGCCCTCCAACTGCTAAACAATATCCAGATATCACTCAATAGCTCACTTCACAAGACACTAGGATTTAATAAGAAAAGAGTCCCATTACAACATTACCTCTACAGCTTCCCATCCCCACTGCCTGTACTTTGGGTCATGAGTGAGCCGCCACATGTACATGTAGGTCTCTATGACTTCTGGTCGGAGGATGTAGTATTTCTCATTTTGTCTTGTAGCAATGGCCTCAACACCACCGTCAAATCTGAAGGCTTCTGGTCCCAGTTTCATGCCTAGCCGATATAAAAACACATGCTAAAATAAAGGCCTTAAAAGAGGTTTCAAATTATGTAACCTACCAAATGAACTATCATTTCACGTGGCACAAAGTCAGGTTACCCAAAAAGTATATAATTTCTGAGAGATACTGCAGCAGCTCCTGTTTTTAATAGCTTGTAAATAATTCAGAGTAGGAGAGCTGTTCTTCATCAATGCCTTAAAGAGCAGATCCAGTTTGAACAGTGATGCTAACATTTGCATTCTGGAAGACTTCACATAACTAGCAACATGTGAAATTTTGCTTAAAAGACAAGGCTATTTACTTTTCTACATCAAACTGGAAAATACACTATGGGACCTGAAATGCTGCCAGGATTATTTTTATAAGAAGATGAAAAAATCCAAAGAAATTTCCTGCACAGAAACCCACTTTCTTTGTGCAATTCTATTCTTTGCAGCATTGTACCAACGGAACTGAGAAGAAAATACATTTTTATGCATAAAACATGATTAATAGCTATATTGATGCATAAATGAACAGGTTCCCTCTCTTATTTCTGTTAGGCTATACAGGAATCGTCAAAGTGAAAAAAAAGCTGTCATGTTAAACACTAGAGTGAACAGATATGATTCAGTTGCACAGAAATTATTTATAATACACAGCAGCCATTCTTAAAGTTACTTTTAGAGCAAAGCAGCATGTGCTCAGAAAGGATGAAGAGTTCACACCATCATACAACTTTCATTCAGCATTACACAAAAATACTGCTGGCTGCCTTCATGAAGTCAAGCTCTGAAACGAAACAATGCAATGCAGTACTTACTGGTACGGTCATAGGATTCATGGCAAGTCCTAGCCATTTCAGCACCAAGCTCGATGTGATGGCCCGTCTTGTCTTTAGGTGCTCCGTCTGCTCCAAGAGCGAACATGCCTCCAGCAAAACAAGTGAGATGTCCCATCTTGTGTTCCAGCAGTCCGCCCTTCCACTCGGCAATGTATGTCAGCCCCCCGCTTGATTTGCGAATGAGGTGGGTCTCCATGGCCTGCAAAAGTAAATGATTTCACAGAATCATAGAATAGCTGGGGTCGGAAGGGACCTTTAAAGGTCATCTAGCCCAACCCCTTGCAGTGTGCAGGGGCATCTTCAACAAGATATCAAACCCTTTGGTACCATTTGGTAAAGTATGAAGGACAAACACAAAGTTGTATGTTGGTTGGGTTTTCTCCATATAGCCTTGCTTATAAAGTAAAATGGACAATATGAGCTAGCATAACCTCAAAGTGCAGCCAAGCCAATACAGATTAGCATACCTCAGTAACAAAGATTAATTTTGCTACAACTTTGAGCAATTTACACAGTGCGTTTCATAAAAATATTGGAATTCCCTAAAAAATACAATTCCATTTTAAAATTATTTATTTCTTTCCCTTTCTACTCTGAGCAATTTCAGGTAATTTCACTTTTAATGGTGATTAGACATTGCTTCAGCTTCTATACTTCCTATTGTACTTCTGACTTAGAGCATGTGGTTATCCATATAATTTCATGTCAATTATACACAGACATAGCTCATACTCAAAACACGTGGCTCAGTGAGTGCACTGAATGATGTTAGGCCTCTGAGTCTATAAGGTATTCCCAAAGTCCGATGAGTTTCCCCCCCCCGACTGAATTCCTCTGTAGTTATCAATCAAGAATAGGGTTTGGAAAAAACGTAAGCAGAATAAAAACATAAAAATCTGCTACAGAGAATTAGAAGTTGGTGCTGTTAGCAATTTACAGTCAGTGATTACGAGATCCAGGAAAACAACCTTCCCTTAGAGAGGAACAGAATTAACATAATAGAGGAGATGCAGCAGAGCACAGAAATTAGAAGACCACACAGAAAGTAAGCTACTAGTCTTTAAAGGGTAATGCAGAGGAGATGAACAATGCTATCACACATTCAGTTATCCAGCAGTGCTCTGGTTTATTCTATTGAAATCATGAGATCCAGAAACAGTACTCAACATGCATTATACAAGAGTAAATACATGAATAAAATATCAGTATAGATAACCATTAAAAAAAAGCCAGGATTTAAAAAAAAAAAAAGTGTTATAAAGAGAAGATATTGATTGCGGTTATTTCTTCTCACTTGAACATTTGTAAAGGTTGTTTTTATAAGTATGAAAAATCTTCTCTAAATTAGAAGCATCAGCAGAGTAATCATACAAGTTTTACTTACTAAGTAGTTTTTTGTGCCAAGAATGTCAGATTGAAAATTACACTTTCTTTTCCACTAATATTAGTGCAAAGCACTTAGTAAGGATGTTTTCTGCCCACCTCCAGACCCATTATTGGCTCAGGAAAGCTCCTCTATCCCTGTCTTTCCTTCCTGATTGTATGTTTTTAGCATTAGTACCTACCGAAAAGCATACCTAAATTTTAAAGCAGCAGTAAACAATGAAAATACCCGTACTTTAAACAAATCCTGCATAATTTAACCTATAAAAAGAGGAATTAAATATGAAAGGGGAAAGGTGGGAAAACAATTTCCTTAAGCATCCAAACCACAGACCCCACTGTGGAAGATGAAAGAACTACAGAGGCTGAGTTGCTGTCAAGCTAATTGGTGGTCGTGTATTCCAAGTGCATATAAAAAAGCTTTTCTGTCAGATTGGGAACCTAGTAGAGGAATATCTAGGTACTTTTTTAAGAAATCATGCTCTTTAAAATGTGCATTTTATGCTCATTTGGGTATAGAATATTTGAACTTATAATTAAAGAACTGACAGAACAGGGTTCAAAGAATCTGCTACAAATGCATTAATACATAAACAGGCAAAATTTATGAGAAGATAGAAATAATCAGAAAACTTCCAGAACCTTTCAGGTTCAGTCTGCATTTTTATTAAATGGTTTATACTTTGTAATAGGATGCCACATTTTTAAAAACACACAACAATTTTGTGGGAAATAGCTTTTTGACTACTTAGGCATTCTAAAAACTAAGCTACCTAAAAGCAAGTTCAGAAATGAAAAATTTTTAATTTAATGATATTTCATTAAACCTTTCAGCATGATATCCCCATCTCACCAAATCAACAATTGTGGCAATAGTTGATAACTCTACTGGCCACTTAGCTGTTGAGTCAGAATTTATTTAAAAAATAAACAAACGTAAAAATAGATTGATAACTAAATTTACCTAGATTGCATTTTTCTTAAGTAAAGAACTAATGAACGACAGAATGAAGCTTTACTGTACCTGACAGAAATAACAGTAATCAGGCACCTTCAGAACTATAGTAACTAGACCAGAGTTGATTCTTGTAGTATGAAAATAGATTTTGGGATACCAATTAGTCTTTTAGAGTTTTTTTTTCCCCTCTTTTGGCTCAAGATTAAAGTTCAGGCTGAAAAAAGATGACTTCCGCTTGGGAAATTTTGAATTATGTGAACAAACTGGTGCTAAGAAACGAACAAATTTATGTTAATTGATGCTAAGAATGTCACAAAATAAAAATATATTTCCAAATTAATGATTCATATTTAGTAAAGCAAATCATCTTGGTTTTATAAATGGGACCTATTAAGAGCTAGTACATATGCCTATTAAAAGTTATTTTTATTATGTAAACGTCTTATTTAAAGCTATTTTTATTAGGTAGTTATTAGATATATTACAGACTCTCAAATTGTCTCGTCGTACTTTGTAGAATCATGGGTCCCTGAGTGGTAGATAATACCTACGCCTTTATTAATGGCATGCTAGGTAACTATTTCTATCTAGACAGAAAATCCAAATAACCTTTAGAAGCCATAAGCCCAAGTGTGTAGACCTTGCAAGTCTATCGGCACACAACACACTCTTATTCTGGAAGACAGGAAAGCAAATACTGTCTTCATTAAGCCCAAACTTCATTTGAAGTTACGTGCTTTTGAAGTCACAGTTTGTAGAAGTTGGATGATTTAGGCAAACTGACCTCAACTGAAGAGCTCTGTAAGGCGTGAAGAGGCAGAGGAGCACCTCTTCCCCGAGGGCCAGCAGCTCTTTTCGTGGTACTGGGTGGTGCAAAAGCAGAGCTCACAGAACCACGGCCAGGGAGCTTACAGTGGGACTGTCAAAAGCTTCAACTAATTCTGAGAAGTTACTTCATAGGCCATTTTTGGTCTGAGCTAGACAAACTGTTTTCAGCAGAAATAGGTTTCCCTTCTCTCAGCACTATTCATCCACCCTCTGACTGAGAACAGAGACACCACCACTTGCCTGAAACAACATCCTCCAAAGGCTTGCTAACAAATTTGCAGTATCAAAATTGTACGAAATTTGGAATAATTCCAGCACGGCATCCAAGTGTCAGATTATAGTGAATTTGTTAGGTTTGTTCCAGTTCTTTCAGGAACTCAACATAAAAAAAAACACCACCTAATAAAAAATCAGCATTTTCAGAAACACTCAAAAATGCAAATGCTTTTTGATTAAAACAAAAAAAGTATAACCTGCATGAGTAGAACATAAAAGAAACTCCCCAACATTAACTATTGATGCATGCATCCATTGAAATTTTGAACTCCTGAATCGGTAACAGTATTTGCAGCATTCAGACATAGTAAAACCTTCCTTTTCCCCACAAGTCTAACCTAACTATAGTTTAATCTCAGAATTTACTTCCATATATTGCCAAAGTACCAATTCTGGAACGTATGCTTATATTATGCATTTGTACAATAAAATATTTTCACAGTAAACAATAAACAAAAATCAGTTCTCTTTCAATTATCAGTTCTGAATCTATATCCAAACTGCCAAAGTGTCATCTATCATCCATCTATTGGAAATTCATACAACTGCCATTCACATTTTTAATTTTTTTTTTTGTTATAATATAATGGTACGTACTTCTGTGAGCAGCACATCAAAATATTTTTCAGTGAGTTCCACAAAGGCTGTAAGTGCCATCAGGTTGGACTGAACTTTCCAAAAGACATTCGTTTTTTAAATAAGCTTGATCAGGACTAAATCACTAGCTGGAACACATGGGCAACTGTTTTAGGTATAAAAAAACCTGAACGCAAAGTTGAGAAAGTACTAGGATGAGGAAGAAATACCATCATCACTTTAAATGAAGATATAATAAGGGTCTCCAAACGTGAGCAGTAGGATGGAAAGGTAGGGTTACAATCCCACAGGGAAATGCTGTCTGCAGCGCTGTGCGTGCAGTTCTGGCAGGGAAATCAAGCTACTAAACAAGTTATTATAGCAGGAGAATAGGTAGATTGGTGGCAAAGATCCACCCAAGTGAAAAGCTCTGTTTGGTAGAATTAATTCTGAATTTCATACTTAGAATCAATTTACTCTTATTTTGATGTAATGATCTACACATTTATTTGAATTGCAGCTCTATTACAGCTTGGTCCCTACCTACAAATTATTCCTTCCTGCACTGCTTATGGATCAGGTGATGTCATATTTATCACTATAGAGACTACTATTTAATTTTACTGTAATGATTATTCTCAATATCAGCCAATATATCGTATCTGCAAATAATCCATAAAGCTAGAAGAATGTAGTCTTTGATTAGCTGCAAATACATGATTGATGGATAATTGTAACTGGTACAGTTTTTCTCTTAAGTAAATGGAAATTTCAATTTACTGTTTTCCAGAATGTATTTCTGCAATTCAAATAGCAATTTCTTTCTTTCCATCGAGGTAAAGCACAGAGACTGTGCAACATAAAAGATTGCAAAGAAGAAGTGGCTGCAAACGTATGTTCCCAAACGGAGCAAGAGCAGATGCTACCTGGGAGTGACTAAAAATAAAAAATAGAAAAAATAAAAATTGAGACAACCTGCCTTTAGCCTGCAGTGGACAAAACAGGAGAGGAAGGAAGGGAAAATAAAGGAAAATAAACAACATTTGCCAGATATCTAAAGAAATAAATTTACTGCATGTAATGCTGATACGGCATACGGTTGGTAGTGTACCTGTCAGCTCTTACAGTCAGACTAACTTTTACGGCCGATACAGTTCCTGGCAATTTTTTTTTTCGTG